TGAAATATGTGAGTTGTTGTATTTAATCATAAGACCAAGGGCTAATTGAACTCCTGCGTGCTGATTAGTAGATAAATGTGAGCTCAAGACTTGGTTTGCACCCAAAATGTCATCATACTTTATTAATGTGAACTGGATTGGTGAAAAAATGATAAATAACTGAACATAAATATTTGTTTAGAGAATGATTAAAAAAAATATTGAAGTAGCATTTATTGAACCTGCACAAAACTTTATTTTCCTGATTCATTTTCACTTTCGAGCTGTGTGGTAGAGTCCTGGCGATGGTTGGGGTGATGAAGGTACATCCTTGGACGACAACAACAGTAGCTCCGATGGAGTTCTTGTTGGGTATGTACAATTTGTTTTTCTTATGCGTATAAATTTGTTCTCTGTGTTTTTATCTCAAGTTTTTCTCATTGATTTTGGGTATTTACAGATTCTTGTCTTTTTGTTTTTGTTTTATTTTTTTGAGAAAATTTAAAATCCTAATGCGATCGGAAACATTCTCTGCTGCCGGAATCTATCCGTCCTAAACCTCAGTCATACAGAAGAACAAAACCATGGTATTTTTCTATTTTTCCATTTTCGATTTTAGTCCTCTGATTACTTTGCTCGATTGATTGATTATGTGTGATCTGATCTGATATGGTGAGGATTGTGAGAATTCCTTTTATCTTGTTCTTAGCCTTTTCAGTGTACTTCTTTGTTTGCTTCTTTTTCTTTTGTTGTGTAAAAAAAGGTTGTATTTCTTCGTGGCAAGAGACATGGAATCATTGGTGGAGGCGACATCTGGTGTGGTGGGTGCACTGGTCAGCGCCACCTCGGTACTTACAAAACGATATACCAATCTGATCAAACTCCTGATAGTGGACAGCATTACATTTTTTTTTTTACTGTATTTGTTTTTCTTATTTCATTTTTGTGATTGTTATTGATATGTGTTGTGTAAAAAAGAGATTCCCTATATCATACTTTATTGATATTACTTCGTTTTCTTTCTTTAATTGATATAGTATGTTTTCTCCTTATTCTTCATGGAGTATCACAATTATATGTTCTTGGACAAAAAAAAAAAAAACACACACACACTCACAATAAATGTTGGAAGTGGGTCTGATGGCTATGTGGAGAGAGACAGGTGAATAATTACAATCATAGTTCCTGAAAGTAATTTTCTAGAAATTTTTAGTTGATATTTTTATGGTTAGGGCCTATGGGCTTACCAATATATATCAGATTTATTTTCTAAACTCAATGCCAGCTTCTGAGAAAGTGATACGGTTTACCTAATTTTCTTTACTTAATGATACATTTATTAGTGAATGAGAGTTTTCTGCTTAGTATTATGCATTCAATTTTGGGTTACTGATCCTGTCCACTATGTATTCATTGTGTTTGTTTTAATTTGCTTTTTTATTTTTATTGCTGTCAGATACTTTCTCATTGTGTTTGTTTTGATTTGCTTTCTCATTTTGATCATGCCAAGGTACTTGCTTGATTGAAGAATGAGCATTTTTGGTATGTCCTGTGATAGTTCTTTTGAAAGTTAGTATTTTGGTTTGCAATTTTTGTGCCCTAGAGTATTTATTTTATTGTACCAATTAGCAGTGCCAGGAGCTCTTTTTGAGGAGAAACCTCAGTCGGCTAATGATGCATGGAGGATACTTTGTTCAGACCTTTAGAAATAAACTGTTGGTGAAAATCAGGATATGATCCCTAAGTAGAAATCATTTAAAACGAACTTACAAAAAAAATTATGACTTTTATTGCTCATTGGCATCTCAAGCTGGTTGGATATTATTTTTTTAACTGCGGTTTTTGTTGAAATACTGATTATACCACCAAGGGAGAAATTTTGATGCTCATTTTATTTTCTTGTTGCTTTGCACTAATGGAGCAATCTCTCACAAACTGTTGCGCCGTTGCTCAAGATTCATGAAGAAGAATCCGATTGAAAAGGTGAGAACAAATCGCTTCACAGTATTGTTCTTTTCAGTTTGCAATAATCATGTAGTGTACAATTATACTTTCTTCTTTATAAACATGTGTCGGCTATATGCACGTTGGTGGTGATCCATAATATAAATATGTTGCTTTATTTTGTTTCTGTTTTGTATACATGTGTGAGCTCCCATGAATAAATCTAAAAGGGCAGGCTGGGGGGTGGTAGGCATGTAAGGGGATGTTGTAATCCACAACTTTTACTGTACATGTAAATAGCAGTTTTGATTTGTATAAATGCAAACCCACAAAGACACGACATAGACAAACATAGGTCTGGCAAGACACCAGAATCATTATAACCTCCCACACCAGCCCACTCCCCATTTTCGACACTTAATATGCCCACCGCCATTTGCATTTCTCTCCATCATGTAACAATCACGTCAAAATCACCTCAATACAGTTTCCACCGCCATTTGCATTTCTCTTCTCAAACTCGCCATCCTCGAGGAGAAGGGCGACTCATATTTGCAGAAAAAAAAGGCTCGAGAAAGCTGAAGAAGAGCGACTCATATTTGCCCAACTTCTCTGTCTACCCACCACCGCCCTCCGTGGACTATTCTTGCCACCTTCGCTTTTCCTAAAGACTGAGAGATCGTACTTTGAAAAGTAAGGATTATGATGTCTCCTTTCCATCCCTCCCAATTTGATTGTTCTTTTTTAATTTTTGTTTATCAATTTGAACTTTGGACTTTGGATCGACGCTCGATCGCGGGATATGAAAATATAAGTTGTTTGTCTTAGAAGATGCAAAATTTCGGCAACAGGAACGAGAGTCTGATGAACGACAATGACGAATGTGCCTTTGAGGAGAGTAGGATGGGGACTCTTCTTTGACTCTTAATATATCCCCATTTTACTTGCGTTTCACCCGACTCCTCTTGCAATTTGGCTCTGCATCCAAAACAAAGTTGGGTCAACTAGATGTTTTCTTTGCTCCTATTTGTTGCTACTTGTTTTGTATGTTTCTGAAAAGATAAATGGAGTATTCTCAATTCAAGTGGACAGGCTGAAGGATGGAAGTTCTGGTGGTGTGCAAGACAAAGGTTCAGCTGGCAGTACATCTCGCCTTGGCCGGTTTGGTTTTGGATCTCAGTTACAGAAGACTGTTGGTTTGGTACTCAAACCTTGTCAAGGCCGCCAGGTAATATGAATAGTTTTCGTGTTTGACACAGATACTTTGTGATTTGTTTATGAGACTTAATAGCTTGAGTTTTAATTGTTACTGTTTTCTAGGCAAAACTGGGTGAAACAAATAAGTTCTATTATCATGAGAAACTCAAGAGATGGGTTGAGGAAGGCGCTAAACCTCCAGTACAAGAAGCAGCTCCTCCACGGCCACTGACAACTTCAATTTTTTCAGTCGGGACTAAATTCGTAATTACTCGACTTGCTTTTGGTTTGTCATGACAGTTACATTTTTATTGCCTTAATTTTTGAGCTCAGGAAGATCTTTTGAAATATCCAACCAATGTCCGAACTTTTAGGCGTGGTCATGTGGACGGAGCCTTGACCGACAACATGGGGTCTGGCCGCAGGGAAGGTCTTTTATTTTTGTACATTCACATGCTTTATTTTTATTGAAAAGGGTTTAATGACTATCAAGTTTGCTCAAGCTTTAGTTTGCCTGTAGCGTAATTATTAAGTTCATTCAGATGGGATAAAAATGAGATTGAGTTTACTATGTATGTGCTTCTGATGCAACTTTCCGAGTTAATTGTTTAACTATATGTTCTATAGATATTTTTTGTGATTTTGGGGATTGATGAATATTTTATGTTTATTGTCCAACAATTTGTGTAGTATCCATTCGTTATGTATAGGCATTAAAAAAATGTATTCTTTCTTAAAGGTTTCAACTGAGGTTGATACTGGACTTAAGTTTCTAAGAGATCTTTCCCTTCAGATTATCAAAGCAAAAACTACTATTCCATTTTAATTAACTAGTAAAGTGCACGTGCAATGCACGTGGTGACAAATATTTTTGGCCGATAAGATAAATTAATTAATTTAATAAATATATGATTGCAAGAACAAAATGAAATATAGAACAAATAAACTCTTAATATAAATTTTTTGTTAAAACAACATAATGATGTCGTTACATAAAAGGATTTAAATAACATGTTACAAACTCAAATAAAAATATATAAGAAAATAAGTCCCTAATAATAATAATAATAATAATAATAATAATAATAATTAAATAAGGATCTAATGTATATTATAGATGCATGAGTTATT